TTGTCTAATATCTATATAGATTGTATAATAGCTGTACTGTATATTGCATAATACCTATATATTGTATAATATCTGTATATTGTTTATTATCTATATATTGTATAATATCTATATAGATTGTATAATAGCTGTACTGTATATTGTATAATATCTATATATTGTATAATACCTATATATTGTATAATATCTGTATATTGTATAATATCTATATTATTCACTATATGTACACTGCATACCTACACAAACACACACTGCATTTACTATATACACTGCATGGCTACACAAACACACACTCTGAATTCACTATACACACTATATCCTTACACAAACACACACTCAAAATTCACTATACACACACACTACATCCACTACACAAACAACACTCTGGATTCACTAGATACACACTTCACCCACTATACACACTCTGCATTCACTACACACACACACAACAGCCACTATACACACTATGCATTCATTACACACACAACATCCACCATACACACTCTACATTCACTACACACACTTCATCCACTACACAAACACATACCCTACATTCACTACACACACTCTGCAGTCACTTTACACACACTACATCCACTACACAAACACACACTCTTCAGTCACAATACACACTGCATCTAATACACACAAACACTACATCCATTGCACAAACACACACTCTGCATTCACTATACAAACACAAACTCTGCATCTAATACACACAAACACTACATCCACTGCACAAACACACACTCTGCATTCACTATATACACTGCATCTATGACAGACACTGCAGACATTCTATATCCACTATACATACTCCACATTCATTACACACACACACTTTCTCCGTGTGGGCGGACTCAAGATGGGCCTTTCAGTCCTGTGGACAGATTCGGAGGCAGACTATGGGGCCCAGAACTTGAGCTGAGTCCAGGCCCGGACTGGCCATCGGGCACACCGGGCAAATGCCCGGTGGGCCGCGGTGGCCGTGGGGCCGAGGCCGGCAGGGGAGATCACAGGATCTCCCCGGGCGGCCCCTGCAGGGCCGGCACTGTCCCAGCGCCGGCCCCGCTGTCTGCCACGACGGGTCGGTGGGAAGATCAAAGCTCTCCCTCACCGGCCCACATGCGGCCGCCGGCGGGGAGGGAGGGAGGGAGCCAGCCAGGCTGGAGAGAGGACCCGGCGGAGCTCTAATTTGCAGCTCCGCCGGGTTCCTCTCGCGAGATCCGGCGCGTTGCCATAGCAACGACCGGATCTCGCGAGAGTTCACTCACCCACGAGGACCACCAGGGAACCCCGCCACCCCGCCTGCCAGGTGCCAGCGTGCCGGTCCCCCCCCCCTCCCTCTCCCAGGCTAAAGGTAAGAAGGGAGGGGGGGGGAATAATGACTGTTTTTTGTTTTATTTATTTTTTTTATTTACCCCCCACACACAATAACATTTATACAGCACTCTCACACCCATCACACACAGCACTCTCACACCCATCACACACAACACTCTCACCCATCACACACAGCACTCTCACACCCATCACACACAGCACTCTCTCACACATCATACACACACTCTCACACACAGCACTCTCACACACAGCATACACAGCACTCTCACACACAGCACTCTCACACACATCATACACAGCACTCTCACACTCAGCACTCTCACACACATCATACACAGCACTCACACCCATCACACACAGCACTCTCTCACCCATCACACACAACACTCTCACCCATCACACACAGCACTCTCACACCCATCACACAGCACTCTCTCACACAGCACTCACACCCATCACACACAGCACTCTCACCCATCACACACAGCACTCTCTCACACACTACACACAGCACTCTCTCACACAGCACTCTCTCACCCATCACACACAGCACTCTCACACCCATCACACACAGCACTCTCTCACACAGCACTCACACCCATCACACACAGCACTCTCACCCATCACACACAGCACTCTCTCACACATTACACACAGCACTCTCTCACACAGCACTCTCTCACCCATCACACACAGCACTCTCTCACCCATCACACACAACACTCTCACACCAATCACACACACACTCTCACACTCAGCACTCTCACACACACAGCACTTTCACACACACAGCACTCTCTCACAGCACCCTCACACCCATCACACTCACAGCACTCTCTCACAGCACTCTCACAGAGCACTCTCTCACACAGCACTCTCACACAGCACGCTCACACTGCACCCTCACACACGGCACCCTCACACACGGCACTCTCACACACGGCACTCTCACACCCATCACTCACACCGCACCCCTCACACACACACACCGCACCCTCACATACACACAGAACCCCCCCAACACACTGCACCACACACATACTTCCAAATATATATATATATATATATATATATATATATACACACACACACTACACTCTTAAAGGACCACTCTAGCCACCCAGACCACTTCAGCTTAATGAAGTGGTCTTGGTGCCAGGTCCTTCTAGGGTTAACCCATTGTTTTATAAACATAGCAGTTTCAGAGAAACTGCTATGTTTATCAATGGGTTAAGCCTTCCCCCAAAGCCTCTAGCAGCTGTCTCATTGACAGCCGCTAGAGGTGCTTGCGTGCTTTTCACTGTGAAAATCACAGTGAGAGCACGCAAGCGTCCATAGGAAAGCATTATAAATGCTTTCCTATGCGACCGGCTGAATGCGCGCGCAGCTCTTGCCGCGCGTGCGCATTCAGCCGACGGGGCGGATCGGAGGAGGAGAGCTCCCCGCCCGGCGCTGGAAAAAGGTAAGTTTTAACCCCTTTCCAGAGCCGGGCGGGAGGGGGTCCCTGAGCCACATATGCATCACATTACACCACAAACACAACACGACTAAAACCGACCTTATTACACAATACCACACCACGACCAGCTCACTCTACACACACGCAATACCACAAGCAGGCTCCAAACACATGCACAATACTCTTTCCTGGCCTTTTGTCTCCTGGTATCCATTTATAGAGACACCAGAGACAAGTTGCAAGGAAACACAGTGCAAGCATGTTATTAAATTTGCTTGCACTGTGCAGAACAAATACAGGACTTTTTTCTCATGCTAGAGCTCTTCATCAGAGCTCTGCGCATGGTCTGCCCTGGAAGAGCATTGAACCAACATGCTCACTTTGAGAGGAGGCATGTTTGTCATTGGTGATGACAAAACACACCTCCTCTGCCCCGCCCCCTTTTTAGTGGGCCACTGTGTTAAAAAAATGCCCGGGCCGAATTTTTCTCCCAGTCCGGCCCTGGCTGAGTCAGTGGCCCCCAAATTTTAGATGACATTATTGTATGTAGTGTGGCTAATATGTGCTATAGTCATTGCTTCCACTCAGGAGTAGTAGGAATTTGAGTGCAGGGCTTAATTCTGTAGGTTTGTATTTGCACACAGCCATGTTACAGTGCTACCACCCACTCCATGTGTTCCCCATTAAGTGTTAATAAGTATGTATGGGTTTAGAAAATGAGATGTTCCCTTATAGCTGAAAGCAGCAAGGTGAATTGTCAGTTTAGAACTCCCCTAAGAGGTTTTGCTTTGATGTTGTAGGTGAGCTTACATCTTGTGGCCATTGGAGCAGCGCTGTATCTAGCGTGAGGCTGACAAGGCATCTGTCTTGGGCGGCACTTTCAGGGGGGCGGCAAAAAAAGCTGCCCGCAATCGCCATTTCAGATGCCTTGCCAGCCTCTTGTCCTGGTGGCCCAAGAGCTGGCTGCCTGGCCACCTTGGGCCCCCTCCCAGGCTGGCATCTCCTGATGTGGGCGGCGAGGGAGCACTCTCCCCTGAGCTCTTCCCTGCTCAGCTCCCTCACGCGCATCGCAGTGATGCTGGAGTCAGAATATGACGTCACTCCGGTCCCACATCACAAAGAGACACGCGAAGGAGCTGAGCAGGAGGATCAGAGCTCCCTTGCTGCCAGCCTCCACTCTGCGCCTGTCTGCTTGCCTAGCCGACCCCCCACTGAGCTGCAGCCAGCCCCACTGGACCACAGGGAAGAATCCACTCCAGCATTCCAAAAGATATATATTTTTAAATTGTGAGTGTGTGTCTGTTAGTGTGTTTGTGTGTCATTTAGTGAGTTTGTGTGTGTGTTAGTGAGTGTGTTTGTGTGTGTGTGTGTGTGTGTCTGTTAGTGAGTGTGGTGTGTTAGTGTGTGTCTGTTAGAGAGTGTATGTGTGTGTGTGTGTCAGTGAGTGTGTTAGTGTGTGTGCCTGTTAGTGAGTGTGGTGTGTTAGTGTGTGTGTGTCTGTTAGTGAGAGTGTGTGTTAGTTAGTGAGTGTGTGTGTGTCTGTCACTGAGAGTGTATATGTGTTTGTCAGTAAAAGTGAATGTGCATTTGTCAGTGAGTGTGAGTGTGTGTGTGTATCTATCACTAAGTGTGTGTGTGTCTGTCTGTGTGTCTGTCAGTGTATATATGTGTGTCTGTCAGTGTATGTATGCGTGCTTCAGCGTGTGTCAGTGTGTGTATCTGTGTCTGTCAGTGTGTGTATGCATGTCTGTCACTGAGAGTGTGTGTCTGTCAGTGATTGTGTATTATTTATTTATAAAATATTTTACCAGGAAAGATACATTGAGATTTCTCTCGTTTTCAAAAAGTCTCCCAGTTTGTCACGTGCGTGGGCTATAGGCCCAGCCGAGACAGTGGGGAGAGTGTGGAAGTGACAGGGTTAATGACACCAGACCCCTGGTTACCTGTTGCTAGTCCCAGCAACCACTCAATTAACCCCTGCAATCCCTTCTACACTAAACCCCTTAGTACACACTTTACTGCCACCGCCAAGACTTTTAAACCCGGGCGTCTTAGGTTACCCCACACACAGGAGAATTATAGTATCACAGTTCTACTTTTACTGATAAAACATATACAGTTAACCCTTTTTGGTAACGTGTTTACCTGAGCTTTCCTCTGGAGAGTGAAGCTCATAGAGAACAGAGACACAAGCTGATTAAGTAAACATTTAATCTGACAAAAAGGATTCACACAGTGCTGAGTACAAAATACAGAAATAAATGACATACAGATAACAAATTGCAAAACAGTACATAAATAAAATAGGAGAAAATTCCTTACATATATTTACCCCATATAGAATTCTTGTGGGAGTCTTACATGGTATAGGTCTCCTAGAAGTTGCTGACAAAAGAAAAATGAATAACTGACCTCCCTGGATAGTCCAACACCCTCATATGGTTGAGAGTGTATGTCTGTCAGTGTATGTCTGTCAGTCAATGTATGTCAATAAACAGAAGGATGGGACTGTGCCAATAAACAAAAATAAAAAAAATCCTAATTGGAGTATTGAAATAAAGTCCAATGTAATAAAACTTGGTCTTATGTTGGTCTCTGAAGTTGTGGAATTTTGCTCCTTACTGATATGTGGAGGAGGTCGATGGATGATGAGATGGTAGAGAATGATGCAAAAGGTATCCAAATAAAAAAGAAGAGATAATACTCACTTTTAGTAGAGCTTAATCCAGCTCTATTATGAATAGCTTGCAGCGGTATTATCCCCGCTTGTAGGATATACAGTGAGCTTCCGGAAGTGACGTCGCGCTTATGACGCGCGTCACATGATACATACACCTCGTTTTTATACCATAATTATATATTTTAAATCCTATTAGTTATATCTATGTATCTAAAATGTTTTTTTACTGTTTTATGTGAGTAATTACAATCTGCTCTGTGATTGGTCAGAGCAGTTTTGGCACAATTTTCAAAGTTATTCTAAGCCTATATAAACCCTAATAAGCCAGGTTGACATGTTTTTAATCCATTGATAAAGCCTATATTGGTGAAACGCGTTTGGATATTGTATTATTATTTTTTAATTACTGTTAATAAATAGATTTTGGTCATTTTATTCTTTTGCACCATTATCTTTTATTTATTTTTATTTTATAACTACCTGGCTTTTTATCTATTGTCTCCTATACTCCAAAGAATCCAGAGGTGGGGATCATACCACCCGTGCCCATACCATAGAGCAGTTAGCCTGGCCTATACATTGTGAGTATATTTTATTATATTTTATATACCAGCATTATTTTACTGAGAGCACTATTGCTGTTTTATTATCTTCTCCCTGAGCTCCTGTTACCATCTTAAAGAACTATTTCAAAGAACGCTCACCACATATCCCAGAGACGGGGATCATACCGTTGCATGCCTACTATGCTAGAGCTAGTATAAGCTCTATTAAATGTGAGTGTATCTATTATATTTTAATACTTTTTATCTACTTTTGGGACATACTGCACTATCACTGCTTTTTGTTTTATCTTCCCCCTGTTTGGCTGTCACTACACTGACGAGGAAGCTCACTGTATATCCTACAAGCGGGGTTAATACCGCTGCAAGCTATTCATACCAGAGCTGGATTAAGCTCTACTAAAAGTGAGTATTATCTCTTCTTTTTTATTTGGATACCTTTTGGATCATTCTCTACCATCTCATCATCCATCGCCCTCCTCCACATATCAGTAAGGAGCAAAATTCCACAACTTCAGAGACCAACATAAGACCAAGTTTTATTACATTGGACTTTATTTCAATACTCCAATTAGGACTTTTTTTAAATTTTTGTTTATTGGCGCAGTCCCATCCTTCTGTTTGTTTGCTTTCTGTATTTATCTCAAGGTCACTTGAGGGAGTCCTTGTTTGGGATTGCTGCCCTTTGTATCTCTTTCTGATATATTAGCGCTGACTCCATTCTCTGTTCTCTGTTTTCAGTCAATGTATGTGTCTGACACTGAGTGCATATATGTCTGTCAATGAGTGTTGTATATGTGTTTGTCACTGTGTGTCTGTCAGTGAGTGTGTCCCAGTGTGTGTGTGTGTCTGACACTGAGTAAGTGTGTGCATCTGTCAGTGAATGTGTGTATGTGTCTGTCGGTGAATGCGTGTCTCTCAGTGTATATGTGTGTCTGTCGGTGAGTGTGTGTGTAACTGTGAATGAGTGTCTATGTCTGTGGATGTGTATGTTTCAGTTGAAAGTGTGTATTGGTTAAACAGTGTGTGTGACAATGATTGTGTATCTGTAAGTGAGTGTATGTCAGTGCATGCATCAGTGATGGTGTGTGTCTGTCAGGAACAGAAATTTGGAGGGGTGGGTGCTCGTGTTTAGTCATGCCTAGGGCAGCACAAAACCAGAATACACCACTGCATTGGAGTGATACTAATAAACCTCCAGTTATTTAAATATTCAAAATGATTTGGGATAGTGCGCAGGTAACTTTTTTTGATTTGTGTCTTGTATATCGTCTGTGGGGTCAGAAAAAAATAAATTGAAAATAGAAATCCACACCACTAAAAGTGTTTACCACTTTCCTGGAGTTCCTACATCTTCTTGTCACTGGACAAAGTATGTGGAGGTGGAAAAATTGAAACAGTGACTCCTTCTCCACTGCTGCATGTGCCCTGACTGTGCCAGGGCTGAACTGGATTGTGTTGTCAATTACTAAATCTTTATTAATCATTTAAAAGAAAACACAGCATCACATGAAAAATAGATAACACAAGTTTAATGTTTTTATTGTTTTATTCAGTTGTGTAATGTTCAGAAGAGTGACGGTTCCCCTTTAAGTGGACACGAGTGACGCTATTTCCACTGCCATCATTTCTATAAAATGTATATAAAAGAAAAGTATAAAGTTTGAAAAGCTCTTTATCTAAATTCACCCAAAAGGAACCACATAAAATTAAAACAAAAGCATACTTTGTCTGAAAGAATCAAGGTGTCGAATTGGAGCTATTGAATGTGGCTTTGCTAAACGTTTTAGGAAACATCTAAAATAAACAATACTAAGACAACTAAACGATGTAATGACACACATTTCGTATCCCCGGAAGAGTTTGTCTCCTCTTATAGACACTCGTTTGTTTTCTCAGATTCATGACGTGCACGCAGACAACGCTTGCTGACAATAGTCCTTCTGAGACATACATTATACTCTGTACAGGAAAAAGAAATGCTTCAAAATTGTACTTTTCCAGTTAAATTGTTTGCAAAGCATAGAGTGTACAAAACATAGACTATACAAGTGAAAAAACACATGGTCTGAAATGGGGTGGGTGGTTTAATGGTTCTGAATTGGGTTGCGTTATCTGGTATTGGTAGAGGAGTCTGAAGCCTGCAGTAGGAAGAGAATGTGAAGAGAGGTTTTTAGTTTTTGGTGTGCAGAAAATCTGAGGTGAGCAAAAGTCTGGAGTATGCAGAGGGTTCTAGGTGGGGTGGATAAGAACTGATAGATTGGTAATGGAAAAGGGGATTTGAGAGATGCAAGGTCTGTAAGTCAGTGAAACCCCCAGAATGGTTGGCTAGGTGAATTCAACAATACATATTGTCCTTGATTTAATATTTTTGGATAAACTTTAAAGTTATTTAAAAAAATATTTTGATGTATTGATATATTTTTATATATGATATATATTGTTTGATAATTAACAACTTTAAAAATATATATATTTTAAAAGCTTATCCAAAAGGATGAAATCATTTAAAAGCTTATCCAAAATATTAATTAGAGGCCATTTTAAATACCCATAAAACCATGGACCTGAAGGGTATGGTGTTGTCTAAAATGGTTAGATAGTTCTGACATAGGCAGAAGATTCTGAAATGGTCTAGAGCAGGAGTTCTTAACTTCTGGATCAGAATTCAAAATTTGGTCCCAATGCTATTTCAGTAGGTTCTTAACTGCTGGATCTGGTACTGCACATTTCTCAGGTACCAGGTACAATTGCCCATGTTAAATTGTTTACTACTACTCGAGCAAAACTCACTTCATAAGTGCAAAATGGGACTGGAAAGAATGTACCGGTAATACAGGTGATTTTGCAATGATTTCTGTTATCAAGTATATTCAAAGAACGAGTCACTGAGCTTTTTTTAAATGAAATATGGGTCACGTCACCAAGCTAATTTAATATTAAATTGTTTTTATGTAACTTAATATTTGTAATTTAAAAAAAAAAACCTCTAGAAGAGGATTGTGAATAAGAAAAAGGATCAGAATGAGGAATGTATTGGTGGCCTGCTGTTGAACTGTGCATTTTGATTGGTTGGCCGAGCTGTGATGGGTACAACTCTAGTTTGAAATATTAGTTACACCAATCACAACTCTGTATGAGACTTTCGGGATAAAATATCCAATTTGATAACAGATCATTTCACCAATAGGAAGTCAGATAACGTCAGCCAATAATAGGTCGATATTAGACAAATAATCTGGGTCAAAGAGTAATAGAGTGTCTTCCAAGATAAACCACCGATAGCGTAATTTCAGACCAGTTTCAATATTACTGTATACCCGTAGAATGCTGGTGACATAATTCAGAACTTGTAAGCATCTAAAAGACAAGTTTTGCATGTTAATTTTATTGCACGATTGGCATTATACAAACAATGTTTTACACAACCAGCTTACACATGAGATTTAGTGCAAATAAAATCCAACATTACTGTAAGGTATTACACGTAAAATCCACTTGTTTGAACAGAATCATTTTCTTGAATTGAAAGTGCCTTTATTCATTATTATCTCTGCCTAATGGAAACATTGCACCTGAGGCAATGGGGACTAAAAAAATAAAATCACATTACTATCATGGGCATTATTTTTGTTCTGCCGGGGGCCATTTCCAATGAGCCAAACTAGCAGTTGTCTTACACACACGTTATTTATAGTGGCTCCACCCATTTGTATGAATACTCCACCTACATACACTACAATCTCCACCCACAATATCTATAATTTAAGCCTCTATTTCGTCTGGCCTGCTACTGTCAAAGATCAGAATTATTATGGGTAAATAAATATAAATGTAACATTTTTAATTGACCAGTCATCAAGTTTGAAGACTATATTGGCTTAATATTTAAATTTATGCAAATGTATACCAGTCATATTTGCATAAATATTTTTTTATTATGCCTGTAGATTTTGTGCCCAGTATCTCTATAATTGGTGATTACAGTTTTAATCTTGTTACATGTGTCAGGATAAATTCATTTATGTGTCCTCACTGAGTTACAGAAAACTCACATTAAAATTTGTAAAAATCATAAACAAAATATAAATAAAAAATATTCTTCTGATTAGAAAATTAAACTTTGATTATATCCGCTATCAATGTCATCGCAATCAATGTCTAGAAAATGTTTTCAAGTGAATCCTTAACACAAAAAATAGCATTTATTCATGTTTGTACAAACTTCGTTAAGAATCTTGCTTTGTCTAAGGCACTCATTGTAAATTTAAATACAAAAATTATGACATTTTAACCCTTGCCCTTCAACTACAGGCTGGCATAGAATTGTGGAAATTTAAGTTCAAAAACCCTTGGAGGGACAAACTTGGACCCCTTAATTTAAGAAATTTACAGTTGGGCAAATTTGATCAGTTGCTCAATTGTTAAAAAAAAATTACTTGGAACTCAACCCAGAACATTCATTACTTACATTGTTGCATACCTCCCAAGATTTTAAATGGACAAATAGGGACCCTTTAATTTTAGGGGTGTGAGTGGGGTGTGTGGACACTAATAACAATTTATACAGCTAAAATGAAATTTAGAACAATGTATCTTATTTACATAGACTGATTTTTAAACACACATATTGTAATTTAAAGACTTATTACTGGGAGTATTAGTTCCACGACACTCTATACACACCACCAATACGGAGCTCCTAGAATACAAGGACTGTCCATCCTAAATAGGGACACTTTGGAAGAATGTTACTGCTGCAGAAATAATCATGAAAAAAAGAAAAAGAAAAGAAAGCTTTGTACACACAAAATACAGTTTTAAATTTGTAATAAAAATCAAATAAACCTAACTGAAGGTCCAATATGGAAATTTAGTCAAGCCATATGAGACTAACAGCTATATCCTCCTATACTAAAACATTGTCTCTTTGAGATAATTTCATTTAACTAGCCAAGTCTAACGTGGCTATTTTGGCAGAAGCTTCTCACAGTATATAGACATATATACTACTTGCTACTCCTGATTTTCCAGCATTTAAAAACCCACACTAAGGTTCTTTCAATTTCTAAAAGAGTAACTTAAAAATTGTTCATAATTTGGCAGGACGTAAAGTACTAAGGACCTGATTAAATATTTTTACATAAAATTTTCAAATTATTTAATATTTTGACAAATATTTTAATCATTTGTTTTTTTATATAAATCTCTATGAGGAGATGCTGATTGGCCAGGGCAGGGTTTGACTCAACCCCTGGCCCACCTCCTTGGCTGAGATAATCAGAATTGACAATTTCAGCCAATCCAGATTATTGGACTGGGACTGGTGGTGGGAGAAACAAGACCCAGCATAATGGCATAAAGCTAAGATTTTACTATATTTAGGGAGGCAAGGGGCACAAGGGCAGCTAGATAGCGTTTTTAACATTATGGGGTCAGGAATACATGTATGTGTTTCTGACCATACAGTCTTCCTTTAAAAATATTAAATCTTTTGAAGAGCTTTTCCAAAAATATTAAATCGGGGCCTACATTGGATATATTACAAAATACATAAAATATTTTGACATTATATTTACACATTTTTGTAACACTTCTTTAAAAAAGGTCTTTAAACTTTTTTTTTTGAGGCTCTATTTTTATTTTAATAAGTTGTTTGTGGTAGTAATACCTTTAACACAGGGCCCAGGAATGCTGATGCCATCTCATCACTGGACTGTAATATGCAACACTTGATAAGATTACTTTGTGCCACAGAAAAGAAACGTTTGCTTAAAAAGCTCTACACATTTCATGTTATTTGATAAGTCTTTAGACATACATTTTCTAATACTCCTCAGGACAGGTTCTAGTAACTCCTATTATCCAAGTATGTTTGAGCACTTTATATAGAACACCACCAGTGTTATCTTCCCAAAAAGTCTGATTCTTATATATTCCTATCTGGCTCTGAAAGTCTATGAAGATTTATCAGCCTCCATCTTAATCTTTTCCCTTTCATCTAACGAGAAATTCGACCCTGAACATAAAGCTCTGCTAGTTGCTTGGCTCTATTAACAGGACTGGAAGAGTCCCATGACGAAAGATAAAACAATATTGTGGCCACTACACAGATAAGTCATCTGACCGAGCTTTGCTGCTTGTGCGACTGGTTTTACTCAAGCGGCGGTTGCCGTGACAGTAGCCATTGGGTGTATGGTGTGGTATAGAATTTACAGACACCGGAGCATTCTGTGTGTAGTTAATGTGTATGAATTGTTCCTCTCCAGTATCTTCTTCGCTTTGGACCCTTTCAGTTGCAAAATTAGCAGTGTTTTGCTGGGATGCCAGAGTATTGTTGAAGGGATGGCTGTATTTGTCTTTGTCACTGCTCAAACACTGGTTAAAATCTGGTGGTGGAGTGCAACTTTGAGATCGGTGCTCCGGTTCCACAGTCGCTACCCTAAGGGCGTTTGGATTGTTTGTGGGAGAGGCAGCAACCTTATCCTTTATCTTTTTCCAAGCCAAGTAATAGAGTTCCACCATACTAAGTAATAGAGACAGGCCTGCCACTGAAAACATAAAAATTATAAAGACATTTTTCTCTGTTGGCCTGGACACAAAGCAGTTGACAGGATGTGGACATGGTGCTCTTTTGCAAATATATAGCGTATTCAAAAAGATCCCGTACAACATGTACTGTCCAACAATAAAAGCTATTTCCATCACAGTACGTATCAAAATACTGCATACGTATGTATTTAATAAGCTTCCTTTTAATCTGATTTTACCACTCAGCTCATCCCTGTAGGGAGGTTCAGATTTTTCTGGTGCGTACTCCTGCTGGTGGTAGACGGAGTCACCAGTAATATTCTCCTTTGACTTTTCTTCTTCTCTTAGTTTCTTTTTCTCCTCTACTCGAACCATGTGCATTGCATGTCCCATGTAAAGTAACGATGGGGTAGAAACAAAAATGATCTGGAGAACCCAGTATCGGATGTGGGAAATGGGGAAGGCTTTATCGTAGCAAACATTTTCACAACCAGGCTGGTTAGTGTCACATGTAAAGTCTGACTGTTCATCTCCCCAAGATGACTCTGCTGCAGTCCCTAATACCAGCATTCGAAAAATGAAGAGCATAGTCAACCACACCTTCCCCACCACCGTGGAATGTTTCTGAACCTCTTCTAGAAATTCTCCAAGGAACGTCCAGTCACCCATATCTGTTTACCTTGTGCAAACACTCTGTGGGGAGAAAAAACATACAGTATATGTTACATGTATGTAAAATGTAAAATTTAATACATTGAATGAAAAGACCCAAGTTTTATAAAAAAAAATGATATTTATTATGTTCAAGTTTATTGAAGTTTCAAACTTCGCTATTAATAATTAGCATTAATATTATATGTTTTGTTCTTTGATTGGTTAGGGAGTAGTTTATTGATATGACTCTTCCACCTTCTCACCTATGTCTAGTGGAAACAAACAAACGATTACAACTCAACTTTGGATATATCGTACAGCTTCCCTATGGTTACCTCCCAATACAGGAACCAATAGCAGAATACAGACAGAATATGCAGTTTTGGGATCCAGCTGTTACCACTACAAAAGATAAGCCACTTGGGGCCATCAGTAGGAGAGGGCTACAACCCCTCACAACAAGCAGGAGAGGCGCCTTGAAGGCTCATATATAACATTGAATGTTTGAGTGCAACCATGAAGTGTCTCGCTATTTAATGTCAAAACAACATTACACTATGTTTTTCTGTATTTATCTTTTGTAGTGATAATGGTGAAGGAGATGTCCTGCAGGGAGCATAGGACAATACGTTCAGGGTCAGCTGAAGGTCAAGGGTTAGTTTAGATAGGGGGTTAGCTGGATATATCTGGTTTACAGCAGTTTAAAATTAGGATATTCTCATTGGCTGTTAGTTTTTTGGCGGGTTTAGATTCTGCAGTGTCACGATTCGGGAACCTAACACGCTAACAGGTCACAGAGAGGAAGGGTGCTATACCGGTCCTTAGAGTGGCCGGGTTAAGCACACTAAGAATAGTCAGGAGACAAGCCAAGTAAAGGGAGCCATGAAACAGGAGAACGAGAAACAAGCCGAGGTCAAAGGGATGGAGAATACCGGAGAATCGAAATAACAAGCCAAATAATCGGTAACCAGAGAAACACGAGCAAACTGCAATACAGGTATCACAAGAGCACAACAGGGCACTGAGAGACAGGAAAGGTAAGTATATAACAGCAGAGCTTAATTCTGATTGGATAACTTCCAATCAGAATTAATAATCACACGTGGGAGATATCTTTAGGGTACTGTGGCTTTAACGCCGGGTCACGTGAGTAACCCTGGCATTTACATAAATGCCGGGACTCCCAGCGTGCAGCGTTACACATGCTGCCGCTGGGAGGCGAGGTGGAGGACGCGAGCGGCGTGCAGCGCAGAGGGGACGCCGCTCGCCTACAGGTAAGAGGAGGGGGGTCCGCGGGAGCCGTGACACGCAGAGGCGGGAAAATGGTAAGCTCTGATTGGTCAGGATTGAAGCAAGTGCGCTAGTTAGGATTAGTTTATATATACCAAGTTTGAATTGGGCGGGCTTCACGCTCTGAGGGACTTACAGAACAAGAGGGAGAAGTTTTGAGCTTCCCACCCAGCCACCCATTATTCATTTTAGTGTCGTAGGCTGGGGAATTGGGGATGAGGTAGCCTCAAATACGAGGTGGATTGAGGCTTAAAGGATCACTACAGTGTCAAGAAAACAAAGCGGTTTTCCAGACATTCTAGTTCCCTGAGGGTGCCCCCACCCTCAGGGTCCCCCTCCCGTGGTGCTGAAGGGGTTAAAACTCCTTCAGCAGCTTACCTTAACCCAGCGCCGGGTTCCCTCGGCGCTGGTGACCTCTCCTCCCCCGCCGACGTCAGCTCCCCCAGCAAGTGCCGCACGCACATTCAAAGTGTCCATAGGACAGCATTTCTCAAGCCACGATGGAAGACAGACACTAGTTTCTCTGAAACTGCTATGTTTGCATCTGAAGGGTTAAAACCTGAGGAACCTGGCACCCAGACCACTTCATTGAGCTGAAGTGGTCTGGGTGACTATAGTGTCCCTTTAAGGTTTAAGCAATCTGGCTGGTTCAAGGGCGGATTGTTAAGTCTAATTTTGGTGAAATGGTTATGGAATTAATTTGAAAGTGTTTTGTAATGCCTCTAATTACCCTCATTAAAGCTACGGCCTTTCCATCTATTGATAGCAGTGCTGTTATACAGTTACGTTTCTTCGTTTAATATTAAAGATAGGGCCTTAGGAAACATATTGCTCCATCGTATGGGTACTGGTCTTGGAAGAAATTTGTTGCCAGTGTCTTTCTCTCTAGTTTCATGTGACTGCAACAGTGCAAAATTATATTTCTTATCGTCGCTAAAGGCAATTGAAATACACAATAAACAGCAAGCACAAATGAATGTTGAAGGTATTATTTACATTCACACCACGTACGTCGCGTGATCTCATCAGAAATGGCGAGGAAAGACAATCAGCTCGTTAAAATTCATGCAGCCACCCGGTCATTGTCTAGCAGTCATGGTTTTTAGGTTTGATGACGAGTTTCTGTTCCTGTCAAAGATATAGAGACATTGAAAATGGTGAACTTGTATCAGATAATGTGTAATTTTTATGGAAAACCAGATAAACAATAAATGCTGTTAGGGGAGGTTAGTGGGTTCTATACTGCAATACAAAATGTACAGCTACAGTGTTTCCTGTCTATAGTGTATATATAGTTTATGCAATTCCAACATGACTTGATCAAAACAAAGTTACTTTTATTCTGTTGATGATGTTGTAGGGGGGTTGCCTGTTTAGGATATGCAACATATGATTGAAGAGTTAGGGGAAATTCATGGATTTTGTCTTTTTTGTGACTCGGTTTATAATCAGAGGATCTGCTTATCAAAATATGACCTGCCTGAAGCTGTTATCTCCTCAATATACTAGTTTTAAACTGGTTTAGCTTGCACACTATTTGCAAAGACTTGAGTTATCTCGGCCATGTATTGATGTTGGATCCCACCATCGTTGGCTGGTCTGTGTCTAAATATCCGCATTCTTGCTTCTGCCCTCCATTATGGAGCTGGTATGTGGTCCCCATATTTAAGGTCACTTCTTGGTGTGAATTCCAATTCTCATTACATAACAAGTTCTGTTTGCGTAATTCAGGTAGGACCAGCTTGAATGATGCAAATCAATAACATTATATCAAGCTGCACTGTCCAAGGTTGCCCTTTTGTGAAATGCATTTGCTACCCTGTATTAAATCAGGCTATTTATTTGTCATACATGGTCACTCATTGGATACCCATGGTCTAAATCAGGATATCTTTGATCCTAATTCTGTGAATCGTAATTTATCACCCCTTGGCGTGCACAAAACTGGGTGCCCCTAGTGTAATTAATAAATAAAGCATTGATTATAAAGGATAATGTGTGCAGTGAAACAGAGAAACTTTAGATTCCAAAAAAAATCTGTTTTTTATAAACAGATATTCACTTAAATATTACATAAAGCCACTTCACAGATCACATGTAGAACCAAGCACATCTTGGGAAGTAATTAGAAGAACACACAATGATCTTATCTCAAGTGAAGAATACATAATGAATTGCTTGTTAACTCGTGTATTATCACAGAGACCATTTATGAAACTCTCTTTGATGCGGTGTTTGCATAATGAAAGCCAACTGTGCTGTAATAATAGGTATGCATTAAGCAAAAGTATAATCCCAGGTAACAGAGCGATGGCTCCTTTCCAGCTCTCAGGAGCCTTATTAGAAAGATAATTTTTATTTCAAAGCTAACAATTGTAAATTCTTAACGCACAAATAATGATTGCAAAATGAAATACATATTTTATGAAATAAAATTATATTATATAAAATATCCATGTATATATAAATAAATAAAAATAATACAAAATATATATATGTATATATATATCCATACACATAATCACATAAATAATTTCATAAATATACACGTAGACTTTAAATATATAAATATGTATCTATATTTAAATTCTACGTGTGTATTTATGTAATATTTTGACATAATTAAGTCATTTTATTGATTGCAATTTGAGGGACCTGCCTGACAACCCAGGCCGAAAGTCCAGAGAATTTAATTTGCAAGCACTGTATTTAACCCTGTAACTTTCCATGACACCCTAAAACCTGTACATATGGGGATACTGTTTTACTTGGGAGACTTCGCTGAACAAATATTAGTGTTTCAAAACTGTAAAACATATCACAGCGATGATATTGTCAGTGAAAATTAAGTTGTTTGCATTTTTTACACACACAGCACTTTCACTGGTCATATCATTGTTGTGATACATTATATTGCGTTAAAACACTAATATTTGTGTTCAGCGAAGTCTCCCGAGAAAAACAGTACCCCTCATGTACAGGTTTTATAGTGCTTTTGAAAGTTACAGGGTCAAGTATAAAGCTTGATTTTCCATTTTTTCAATTTGTCAGATTGGTTATGTTGCCATTGAGAGCATATAGTAGCCCAGGAATGAGAATTACCCCTATGATGGCATACCATTTGGAAAAGAAGACAACGCAAGGTATTGCAAAATGGGGTATGTTCAGTCTTTTTTAGTAGCCACTTAATCACAAACACTGGCCAAAGTTAGAGTTCATAATTGTTTTTTTTGCATTTTTAACACACAAACAAATATAACTGCTAACTTTGGCCAGTGTTTGTGACTAAGTGGCTACTAAAAAAGACTGGACATACCCCATATTGAATACCCTGGGTTGTCTACTTTAAAAAATGTTGTACATGCGAGGTGTGATTCAGAGATTTATGACAGATAACAGTGTTACAATGTCACTATTGATAAATTTTAAAAATATATATTTTGAAACAGCAATGTGCTACTTGTACTTATAGCCGTATAACTTGCAAAACAAAGCAAAAAAGCATGTAAACACTAGGTGTTTTTAAACTCAAGACAAAATGTTGAATCTATTTAGCAGTTTTTTTCATTAGCTTTTGTAGATGAGTAAAAGAGTTTTCAAGTAAAAGTCAAAAAACATGTTTTTTTTCAATTTTTCACCATATTTTTATTTATTTTTTAAAGTAAATTATATGACATGATACAAATAATGGTATGTAAAGAATGCCTTTCTTGTCCTGAAAAAAA